GGTTGGTGTATTGCATAGTTTTTAGACTGGATTTCACTCAAAACCCACCAAAGGACTCCTCCCACAATATTATGATGTTCCCCAGGCTTTGGGCTCAATCCGATATCGATTGGTCCACGAAATTGGACAGTTCGGGTTCGTACGATGTTCGTTCTGAAATGGGCTGGTTGGTGTATTGCACAGTTTTAGCAATATGATTTTACCTAAAACTCACCAAATGACTCCTACCACAACATTATGAGGGTCCTAGAGCTTTGGATTCAATCCGATATCGATTGGTCCGTGAAATTGGACAATTCATGTTCGTACGAAGTTCGTTCTGAAATGGAGTGGTTGGTGTATTTCATAGTTTTTATCCCTTGGATTTCACTCAAAACACACCAAACTAATCCTCCCACAACATTATGATGTTCCCCAAGTTTTGGGCTCAATTCGATATCGATTGGTCCATGAAATTGGACAATTCAGGTTTATACGAAGTTTGTTCTCTAATGGTTGGACAATTCAGGTTAGTAATTGTATTTCACTCAAACCTCAAGAAATGACTCCACCCACAACGTTATAATGTTCCCTAAGTTTTTTACTCAATCCGATATCGATTGGCCAATGAAATTGGACAATTCAGGTTCGTACGAAGTTCGTTCTGAAATAGAGAGATTGGTGTATCGCTTAGTTCTGGAGCTTGGATTTCACTCAAGATCCGGCAAATGACTCCTCTCACAATATTATGATGTTTCCCAAGTTTTGGGCTCAATCCGATATCGACTGGTCCAAGAAATTGGACTATTCTTGTTTGTAAAAAGTTCGTTCTCTAAAGGAGTGGTTGGTGTATTGCATAGTTTTAGCAATTAGATTTCATTCAAAATTCACCAAATTATTCTTCCTACAACATTATGATGTTCCCCAAGTTTTAGACTGAATTTGATATCGATAGGTCCATGAAATCGGACAATTCAGGTTCGTACGAGCTTCGTTCTTAAATGTATTGGTCGGCATATTGCATAGTTGTAGCCATCGGATTTCAATTAATACCAACCAAATGACTCCTCCAACCATATTATGATGTTCGCCAAGCTTTGGGCTCAATCCAATATCGATTGGTCCAAGAAATTTGATTATTCATGTTAGTATGAAGGTCGTTCTCTAGTGGAGTGGTTGTTGCATTGCATAGTTTTTGCAATAGGATTTCTGTCAAAACTCACCAAATGACTCCTCCCACCATATTATGATGTTCCCCAAGTTTTGGACTCAATCCGATATTGATTGGTCCATGAAATCGGACAATTGAGGTTTGTATGAAGTTTGTTATGAAATGGAGTGGTTGGTGTATTGTGTAGCGTCGGCCATTGGATTTCACTCAAAACTCACCAAACTTCTCCTCCCACAACATTATGATGTTCCCCAAGTTTTGGACTCAATCCGATATCGATTGATCAATGAAATTGTACAATTCAGGTTCATATGAAGTTGGTTCTTAAATCGAGAGGTTAGTGTATTGTACAGTTCTGGGTATTGGATTTCACTCAAAATCGAACAAATGACTCCTCTCATATTATCGATTGGTCCAAGAAATTGGACTATTCTTGTTCGTACAAAGTTCGTTCTCTAATGGAGTGGTTGGTCTATTTCACTGTTTAGCAATTAGATTTCATTCAAAATTCACCAAATGATTCCTCCAACAACATTATAATGTTCCCCAACTTTTAGACTCAATCTGATATCGATTGGTCCATGACATTGGACAATTCAGGTTGGTATCAGGTTCGTTCTGAAATGGAGTGGTTGGTGTATTGCATAGTTTTAGCCATTGGATTTCACTCAACACTCACCAAATGACTCCTCCCGCCATACTATGATGTTCGCCAAGTTTTGGGCTCAATCCGATATCGACTGGTCCAAGAAATTGGACTATTCATGTTCGTACGAAGTTCGTTCTCTAATGGACTGGTTGGTGTATTGCATAGCTTTAGCCCCTGGATTTCTCTCAAAACTCACCAAATGAATCCTCTCACCATATTATGATGTTCCCCAAGTTTTGGGCTCAATCCGATATCGATCGGACCAATAAATTAGACTATTCATGTTTGTATGAAGTTCGTTCCCTAATGAAGCGGTTGTTGTATTGTACAGTTTTAGCAATTAGATTTCACTCAAAACTCACCAAATGACTTCTCCTACAACATTATTACGTTCCCAAGTTTTGGATGCAATACGATATCGATTGGTCCATGAAATCGGACAATTTAGGTTCGTGCGAAGTTCGTTATGAAATGGTGTGGTTGGTGTATTGCACAGTTCTTGAGATTGGATTTCACTCAAAACCCCCAAATGGCTCCTTCCACCATATTATAATGTTCCCCAAGTTTTGGGCTCAATCCGGTATCAATTTGTCCAATAAATCGGACAATTCAGGTTCGTACGAAGTTCGTTTGAAATGGAGTGGTTGGTGTATTGTATAGTTTTAGCCATTGGATTTCACTCAAAACACACCAAATGACTCCTCCCACCATATTATGATGTTCCCCAAGTTTTGGGCTCAATTCGATATCGATTGGTTCAAGAAATTGGACGTTCATTTTCGTACGAAGTTCGTTCTGAAATGGAGTGGTTGGTGTATTGCATAGTTTTAGACATTGGATTTCACTCAAAACACACCAAATGACTCCTCCCACCATATTATGATGTTCCCCAAGGTTTGGACTCAATCCGATATCGATTGGTCCAAGAAATTGGACGATTCAGTTCGTACGAAGTTCATGGAGTGGTTGGTGTATTTACCAACTCAAAACACACCAAATGACTCCTACCACCATATTATGATGTTCCCCAAGTTTTGGGCTCAATATGATATCGATTGGTCCATGAAATCGGACAATTCAGGTTCGTACGAAAATTCGTTCTGAAATGGAGTGGTTGGTGTATTGGGTAGTTTTATCCATTGGATTTCACTCAAAACACACCAAATGACTCCTCCCACCATATTATGTTGTTCCCCAAGTTTTGGACTCAATCCGATATCGATTGGTCCAAGAAATTGGACGATTCAGGTTCGTACGAAGTTCGCTCTGAAATGGAGTGGTTGGTGGATTGCATAGTTTTATCCATTGGATTTCACTCAAAACACACCAAATAACTTCTCCCACAACATTATGATGTTCCCCAAGTTTTGGACTCAATCCGATATCGATTGGTCCAACAAATTGGGACGATTTAGGTTTGTACGAAGTTCGTTCTCTGAAATGGTGTGGTTGGTGTATTGCATAGTTTTAGCAATTGGATTTCACTCAAAACACACCAAATGTCTCCCCCCAAACTTTGTTTTGGTCCCCAAGTTTTGGACTCAATCCGATATCGATTGGTCCATGAAATTGGACATTCAGGTTCGTACGAAGTTCGTTCGAAATGGAGTGGTTGGTGTATTGTATAGTTTTAGAGACTGGATTTCACTCAAAATCCACCAAATGACTCTTCTCACCATATTATGATGTTCCCCAGGTTTTGGACTCAATCCGATATAGATTGGTCCAACAAATTGGACTATTCAGGTTTGTACGAAGTTCGTTCTGAAATGAAGTGGTTTTTGTATTGCATAGTTTTAGCAATTAGATTTCACTCAAAACTCACCAAATGACTCTGTTTGGGCCTAAATTGGCACTCCCAGCCCAACAAAAAGAGAAGCTCAGAATAAAGCTACAAGACTCAAATAGTTTGGTCTTTAAAACAGAAATCAGAAGCCCAAAGTCCAGAAAGGCCTAGCCCAAGAGTTATCAAACCAGACAAACAGACTTGGGCCTCAAAAAGAAAAAGTCACCTTTTGGGGTCCACACAAAATACGCCTAGCACGATTTGGATAAAGAAAGGGACCCATTTTTCCTATCAGATTTGGAAAAGTCAACAAAAACCAGCCATTACAAAGATGATTAGAGATGGTCAATAGTTGGCAAAAATTGGGAAGAGACAGCTCTGAAAAAATCTAAAGATCAAATCCCCTCTTATGTATATTAGGTTCTCTTTCAAGAAAAATAGGGAAGTGATTGCCTATTAAGAACCTATCTACCAAAAATTGATGAAATCCCCCTTTCTTTTCCATTTTAAAAGGAAGATCTTTTTGAAAGGATTTGCCGCCCATTATTAAAAGAATTACCATAGTCTAGAAGACATTTTTTATAAATACACGAAGGAGTGAACAGGGCAAAAGACAATCAATCCTACATTCAAATCATCAACCAAACAAACAACTCAAAATCAACCAGAAGCTCACTTGAATTCCAAGTGAAACCAGCTTTAGATCAGAAGTCCCAAGGTCAGACTTAGAAAATAAGTCATTTAAAACGAGATTTCTCTCGTTACAAATTTGGTTCAGCAAAAAACCAAGACAGGTAGAGCTTGAGCTTTTCCCAAACATGAAAACCTCAACAAATTTCACAGTGCAGTCTCTAGCCCACTGAAGTCCTCAAGAACAGCCACGTCTGCCCTTTCAGACTGAAGAAGCCGCACTTTTGCCCACTCAAAAGCCTCACAAAAGCTTGAAGTATATTAAAGCTCTGCCAAAATTGACCTTTGGTATCGATTTACAGCTGAAGCTTAGCAGTTGAAGTTGTTAACAGTTCAGTCAAGCCCAGATATTTCCAGTCCAGCTCGGATCAGAGCCTCCCATCCAGGCAGAAATGGAGTTCCAGCTGTCTTTTTATCTTTCTAGCGTGGTTATTTATTTTTATAGTTTTGTAAAAGACAGTTCTGCCTAAGACAGCTCAAATTCCATCAACCATTCTGGCCAGAACAACCTCTTTTTACTGAGATAAATTGTTAAAGTCCTCACCAGTCTGAGGCAAGAAAAGAACTTACTTGGGAGATATTCCTCACCCAAATTCACAATCGTTTGTTTATAGAAATCAGTGACTTGGGGTGCAAGTTATCTATTCTAGAATAAGTCTGCTAGAATCTTCATTGCTAGCAGTGGCACGCTCATACACTAAGAAAGCTGACTTGTTGACCAGTCAATGGTTTTCAAGGCAGTGGGGAACTTTGCCCTTCCATCTCAGGAGAATCACAAAACGAGGTGAACAATTTGGCACGCCCAGTGGAACTTCCCAGTATACATATTCTCACAGAATTCTTCTCAAGTTTATGAATATTGGAAGCTCTAGCCAGAATCCACACCATGCCATGGAGATAAACCAGGTGGCTCTCAGGGAAGGACTGGAGTCAGAGGAAAGTGATGCCAGGCACTCAGCACACTGCAGCACAGGGAGCAGACGGTCTAGGACTGGCTCCAGAAAGATGAACCTGATATAGGAATCTGTGTTGCGACAAGAAGTTACAACACAAAGGAGCTAGGACACTCTCAATAATATGACAGCCATGATGCAATGGCAGGTCAACAGGCAGTTCAGGAAGGACCATGAGGCTGCCGTGGCCAGAATTCCAAATCCGGATACTGTAGTCCGGCAGCTAGACCTTCCCTATAGTCCCCCACCAGGATTGGCAGGGCCATATCAAGAGAATCCTCTTATTGCACAGATAGCTGGGATGCCAAAATGTGGGGAAATTCAGTCTGGACAGAGGGAGGAGCCCTTTCTATCCAAGAGCATCAGGCCCTAATCCAGCCAGACGACCCTGCACCAGGACAGATTCAGCAAAACCAGCCAGAGCCTCAGCCTATTCCACAACCCGTGGCCCCATAGGATCAGCCTTTGGCACTTCTGCCTCAACTACCAGCAGTGTTGCCCTACAGACCTAGAAGGATGGATCCCAATCCATTCCCTCCACCTGCAAGGAGAGGCAGAGGGGGAAACTACCATTTTGCTAACAATTACAGGAACAAGGCGGGGGCAAACTGGAGGAATCACCCAAATCTGGAAGAGCAGGAAGAACACAGGGAAGAAGTTCTGCCCATATCATGTAGGGCGGAACCCATGATTGATTACACCCAACCAGAACAAGGGCAATATAGACACCCCACAAGATGCCCAAGTCAGAATAACTCAAGGGCAGATGGCACAATTCTTGGAATCATTCTACCAATAGTTGTGTTGTTTTCAGAGACGTCATACAGGAAGGGATAACAGCAAGAAGGCTGAAGCTGGCAGAGAAACCTCCATATGTCACAACAGACCCGTTTCCCCCACCGCAAGTCAACATGGTCAACTTAAATTGGCCAGAACAGAAGAGGAACAGACCAACGACATAAGCCAGCTCCAGCAGAGGCAGAATAGTTTCAAGGGAGACTATTGAAAGACCAAAGGAAACTATCTCAGCTGGGGTAGTGCTCTACAGCAAGTGCAAATGTGAAGCTGAGCTAGAAGTAGTCCTGGATAGACAGAACCAGCCCACTCCGAGTGTTTTTGACCGGATTGGAACCACATTGCATGATGGAGCCGGGCAGAAAGACTATCCTAAGCCTGTCCGACGTCGTAGGAGAATGACTAAACAGCCCAAGGAAGAAATATCAGTAAAAATGCCCGGAAATGAGAAACCTCTGGCAACTATCATAGAAGGCAGGTGGTATTCTATCGGGAAGAATGGCAGACCAACTATGGAGCTAACAAGAACTCAAAAGAGGAGGGTTCAAAGGCAGTACTGTACATTCCTCAATAACAAGAGTAATGCGCAGATACTTCCAGAGACCAATTCTACCAACAAAGGGAAAGAGCCAGAAATGCTTCCCAGACAGAACAAGCGATCTCCCAGCCAGAGAAGCTGATGAAAGCAGAATCTTCAGGGAAACCTTCTATCCATCCTGCCTCCACCTCAGGACAAGAAGACTGGACTGAGGAATATGAAGAGGAGAAGTTAGATTATGAGCCATCTATAGATGACTAGAATGTACTCCTCGGAGTAAGAGAACAGGGAGACTGGATAGAGGAATACGAGGAGCAACAGATGGATGCAGAAACTGAGGCTTTTGGTGCGGAATTGGAGGACCTATTACAAGGTGACCTAGGCATCAACATGGTGTTCATCCTATCAGAAAAGTTCTGGGCTGCAGAAGGGCAAGAAACCACTCTGGAGGGAGATGTGTTTTCCCAGGAGAGTTTTGAGTGCAGGTTGGCAAAAGCAGAAGAGACACCAGAATAACAAGCAGGCAATTCCAGGACAGAAGTAACTGCCAACAAACTGGCTACAAAGCAGCTTTGCTTCTCCAAACCAACCAAAGAGATGGCCAATCACCTCAGAAACTTGTTCATAACAGCAAACTTTGGGGGTGTTCCTATTCCCAAAATCATGATAGATGGGGGAGCAACAATTAATCTTCTGCCTCACAGAATGCTGAGCAAAATGGGCAGAACAGAGAGGGATTTGATTCCAACACGCTTGACTGTCACTAACTTCGCAGGGGGCATCACCAAAACTCATGGGATCTTAGATGTGGATGTTATAGTTGGAAGCAAGAAGCTGAAGATTGCATTCTTTGTGGTGGACACTACTTCTACCACTTACAATGCACTGCTTGGCAGAGACTGGATTCATCAGAGTCTATGTGTTCCTTCCACTCTTCATCAATAGTTAGCTTTATGGAATGAAGAGGGTTAAATGGAGATAGTAGAGGCCGATCCACGACCATTTCTGCCTTCTGCCATGTGTTTTGAGGCAAGGTACTATCATGATGACCTCGGTGCTTTCACCTTCCTTGGAGTCAACCAGAACGGCCGCCCCCATGGTGTCACGGCCCAAGGCTCATTGAAGATGGTCTAACCAATTCCTTAGAGGACTGGAATAGACCTTTTGTTCTAAACTTCCAGAACTCTTATGTTTAGCCCAATCAACAGGAGAAGGATCGAGCTGCAACAATTCGATCCATTACAAAAAGATTGTTGATATACTGGGAGGAAAGGAAGCTCTTCATGCAGAATCCAGCCATCAATATGGCAGAATTCACTCATGAAAGCACGGAAGACCAGGAGGAAGAAGAGTTACAGGACGAAGTATTAGATTTTGCACCAGCAGCACTGGATGACTCTCTGCCAGAAGTGGAGGATACTTTATAGGAAATAAACTTAGGGACAGAAGAGGATCCAAGGCCTACTACTTTATTAGCGCACTGTTGAAAGAACCACTTAAGAGTGAGCTCATTGCCCTTTTGCAGGAGTTCAGAGATTGTTTTGCTTGGCATTATCATGAAATGCCAGGATTAGACAAGGAATTGGTGGAGCACAAGCTGCCAATCAAAGAGGGATACCTTGCAGTCAAACAGGCCAGAAGAAGAATGTCCACGGACATAGAACTGAAGGTCAAAGAAGAAATAGAAAGGTTGCTGAAGGCAGGATTCATCAAACCAACCATCTATGCTGATTGGCTAGCTAATATTGTACCTGTTCTGAAAAGAAAAACTGGGGCAGTCAGAATTTGTGTGGATTACAGAAATCTGAATGAAGCTTCTTCCAAGGATGAGTACCCTATGCCAATGGCAGACATGCTAGTAGATGGAGCTGCTCACAACCAGATGCTATCTTTATGGATGGCAATGCAGGTTACAATCAGATCATGGTGGCAGAAGAAGACATCCACAAGACAGCCTTCATGTGTCCAGGACACATAGATGCTTTTGAGTACACTGTAATGCCTTTTGGTTTAAGAAATGCAGGAGCTACTTATCAAAGGCAATGAATTCTGTCTTCCATGATATGATAGGGCATTCTTTGGAAGTGTATATCGATGATGTGGTGATTAAATCCCCAGAAGAGGGAAACCACATACGAAATCTAAGGAGGGCATTCCTAAGAATGAGGCAGCATAAACTAAAGATGAACCCAAAGAAATGTGTTTTTGGAGTTCAAGCAGGAAATTTCCTAGGATTCTTGGTCCACCAGAGGGGCATAGAAATCGACAAGAACAAAGCAAAGTCCATCATAGAAGCTCTACCGCCTAGGAACAAGAAAGAGTTGCAGAGTCTCTTAGGAAAAATTAATTTTCTAAGGAGATTCATATCCAACTCTGCAGGGAAGATCCAGCCTTTCTCCTCTTTATTAAAACTGAAACAGGAACAGACGTTCAAGTGGGAAGAACAACACCAACAAGCTTTTGAGGAAATCAAGCATTACCTCTCAAATCCACCAGTTCGGTCCCCACCAAAGAGAGGCAGACCACTCAAGCCCTATGTATCTGCATCAGAGGTATCCATTGGGAGTCTGTTAGTTTAAGACAACAAGGAAGCAAAGGAACAGGCAGTCTACTACCTGAGCAGAACTCTGACAGAGGTGGAAAGAAAATATTCTGCAATTGAAAGACTTTGCCTAGCCTTGTACTTCACTGCTGTGAAACTCAGACACTACATGCTGCCATATACCATATACATCATTGCCAAGACAGATCTGATCAAGTACATGCTAATAAGACCAATGCTGAGAGGCAGGATTGGAAAATGGACTCTGGCCTTGACAGAATTTGCCTTCAGATATGTTCCCCAGAAAGCTGTCAAGGGACAAGAAGTGGTAGACTTCCTAGCAGACCATCCAGGAGAAGAAATTGAAAATATGGACTCTTTGGATATAGCAAGTGCAGATCTATTGACAAGAGCTCATACCTGCCTAAACAATCCTATCTATTCAGTTCATCTCACACCTTGGAAGCTATACTTTGATGGGTCAAAGACTACATAGCTTCTGGGGCAGGAATTGTTTTGGAAGAACCGTTTGGAATCAGACACTGTTACTCTTTCCAATTGGATTTCCAGTGCACCAACAACAGAGCATAATATGAGGCTCTAATCATAGGCCTAGAAATGCTGGTAGAACTAGGAATCCAATATGTGGAAATTTTAGGAGATTCCATGCTTGTCTTGAAACAGATTGTTGGGGAATACAAGTGCCTAAGTCCTTCTCTAGCTGTCTACTTGGTGGCAACTAGGAATCTTCTAACAGAATTCAGAGAAGCTACTTGGGAGCATATCCCGAGGGAAGAAAACTTTGCAGCCAATGAATTGGCTCAGGTAGCAACATGCATACAAATGCGTTAAGATTGTGTACAAAGAATCATCAAGATAGGGAAGAAAAGCCTACCATCTGTTCTGACCAGGGGGATGGAAATAGATGTCAATTCTGCCGTAATCACTGAAGATGATTGGAGAAATCCTATCATGACTTACTTACGATATCCAACCCTGCCCTCTGAGAAGAGAATCAGAATCATGGCTTTGAACTACCTTATGTGGAATGAAGATTTGGTCCGAAAGAGTAAGGATGAGGTACTTTTAAGGTGCCTTGGAAAGAAAGAATACATGAAAGTCATGGGGGAAACTCATGAAGGAATCTGTGGAGCTCATCAAGGTGGAAGGAAAATGTGCTGGTTGATCAGAAGGTATGGCTACTTCTGGCCAACCATGATGAAAGATTGCATTGACTATTCCAAGGGATGTGAGTCTTGTCAAAGGCATGGCCCAATCCAGCAGGCTCCTTCAGTTCCCATGAATCCAGTGGTAAAGCCTTGGCCCTTTAGAGGATGGGCAATGGATCTCATTGGCAAGATCTATCCAGCCAGCAGTCAGCAGCACTGTTTTATCATTGTTGCTACAGACTACTTCACTAAATGGGTGGAAGCCGAGCCTATTAAATCCACTACACCTCAAGAGATCATCACTTTCATAGAAGAACAGATTATATAGAGGTTTGGCATTCCAGAATGAATCACAACTGATAGGGGATCTTCTTTCATATCTGGAGAGATGCTGGATATGGCAGAGGCATTCAAATTTAGGCTGCTTCAATCCACTCTCTACTATGCTCAAGCGAATGGACAGGCAGAATCAAGCAACAAAGTAATCATCAACATTATCAGAAAAATGCTTGAGAAAAATCTGAAAGCAATGGCATGAGAAGCTATCAGAAACTCTGTGGGCATATAGAACTTCAAAAAGGAAGCAACTAGCATGACCCCCTATGCATTAACCTATGGTCTTGATGCAATTTTGCCTATGGAAATAGCTGTTCAGTCCCTCAGAATTGCTCACCAACATGATTTGGTAGGAGAAAACTACTTTCAGGCCATGCTGCTAGAACTGGAAGGATTGGATGCAAGCAGAATTGATACCCTCAATAAACTCTTGGCAGGAAAGCAAGCTGTGTCAAGGGCCTACAACAAAAGAGTAAAGAACAAGAGTTTTGAGGAAGGAGAAATAGTCTGGAAAGTAGTTCTGCCCCTTGGAACACATGTGGCTGGTTATGGGAAGTGGTCACCTACATGGGAAGGCCCTTTCACAATCAACCAGATCCTTGGGATGGGGGCATACAGGTTGCAGGATAGAGATGGAGAAATTCATGCAACCCCAATCAACGGCAAATGGTTAAAGAAGTTTTATCCAACCATGTGCGATTTACAGGCTCTACAAACAGATCCTGGGATAGAGAAGGGACAACACTAAAAAGCTTTTATTTATGTTTAGAGTCATCTTTGTTCTAAGTTGTTTAAAGTTTGTTCCTTTTGTACTTTTGTTTATTTCATCAAAAGAAATAAACTTTATTTAAAATAAATAGCTATGAGGCCTTCCCCGTGGCAAATTGTTCATCATGAAGAAAAAACTAAAAGGGTAAATAAATAACAGAATCAGAACCCTAATTTCTTAAGGGTTTCTTGCAAGTTGGTCTTCTTAATGGAGAGTTCCTTTTGAAGCAGCACCCCTTGATGAATTGAAGCCTCTGCAATCTCTAGGGCTGGCCTGGAAGCTACAACCATGCTCTGTACAAGGAAGGTAGTCTTAGTCTTGGAGCTCAGTCTAGCCCCGAGCTTGTTCTGCATTTCCCTGCACTCTTCCAGCTGTTTTTAAGCTCTTCAATCTACTTCTCCAGCTTGTCTGCAGTGGCCTTGGCTTCCTTGTATCCCGCCACCATCTGGTCTAGTTCTGCCTTCTACTTTGCAAATCAGCCAAGTTGGCTTCATGAGTGGCCTTGCAGAACTCTGAGGTTTTGAAGGTAGGCTTGAAATCCTCATAGTGGTCGTGAGGGTTGAGCACATCCCTTGCCAGACCAAGGCTCATCTCGAGTATAGGTTTAGGGGACATGTTATGTCTATGAAGCAGGTCCAGATCCTTCATCAGTTGGTCAATGGCTTCCCTATCCTCATCCAACTCCAGTTCATTAGACTGCCAGATCTTCAGCCTCTCCATAGCCTCCTTCACTGCCTTGGATTTTGCCTTACCTACAGGAGAGCTAAGCATCTCCAATCTGTCTAGTTGGGCATCTAAGTCCATGGCTTCAAACTCTGCCAGTTCTGGATCAGCAAAGGAGGCCGTGGCAGATGAACCTAGAAGGGAATGAATAGGCATCTGCAGAAGGAAGCATAAGTCAAAACTAGGCAAAAACAGAAAAGAAAAAACCCAAAAATATAATGAACACTAACAGCAACAATTGGGGGCTTCAAGGGGCTAGTCACCACTAACAGGGAACCAACAGATTTGGGCACTTCTACCTGGAAAGACTATAGCAATTAAAGAAGCAGAAAACAGAACAGAATTGCAGAAAATGTGAGCAGAATTGGAAGAAAAATTACCATAACTTCAGGAGCAAAGGCATCCACTTCTGCTCCAGCTTCTGGTGTGTGATTTATCTCGTCCCAGTGTTTGCGATTTTTTTCTGTGTCATCGTCGGTTTTCTTATTTGGTTTCGTTTTTTTTTGTACTCCGTTGCCTGTGAAGTCACTTGAGTGTGTCGTTTCGACTCATTTATGTTCTGTTTTTTTTGTGTGTATTTTTATAGTCATTATGATTTTTTTCGCGTTTGGTCGTTTTGACAGGCCTTCAGTGTTGATCCTCAAAACAGGGTTGTGCTAGTTTCCTTTTCATGATATTTTGTTTTAGATTTTCTATCGGCGTTATGCCTTTTTTTGCTGGCTTTCTCCGTATTGTCTGTGTTGCTTCGGATGTTTGAGTGTTCATGTAATGATTTGTATTCTTGCTTTGTTCGAGTACCTTTGTTGCTGCTCTTCTTTTGTTTTTTCTAGTTTAGTATTTCCTCAGTGCACTTTATTTTGTTTATGCTTTTTGGCTAGTTCTTGCTTTCTAGTCTCGTTCGGATACGAGAGCATGATGTCTACCGCAGAAGCCGGACGGCAGAAGGATAAAAAGACCGACGCAAGCATGATCTCCGGCCCTGACTCCGCCTATCGCTCTTTCTCCCGCACCCGCCAATTCCAGTGAAATATATATTTACATGTGTATTGTCTCACCTTAGCACCGACTCTTTAGCTGGGCATGTCATTGATTGCTTTGGGCTCACTCAGCAAAAGGAACGTCTCTCCAACAGCGCAACTGGACTCTACCAGGCATATTCCCACCACCGTCCTCTTTCTAAACCTTTTTGACTTAGAAGGAGAAAGGAGAAGGGACCTTCAGTTGAAATAGGAAGGAAGAAAATAGGCCATTAGAACATAAGCCAGAACATAACAGAATTAAGAAAATTGTCAAATTCACCTGAAGTTGCACGTTGAGCAGTTTCCTTTCTTTTCCTTCGGATAGAAGGAGAGTGGCCTCAACGGGAGTCTGTTCTGCTTGATCTTTTCTTCTTCTTCCTCTCAAGAAGGAAGCTCTAGGTCCCAGCAGTTATGACAGAAGTAACGCACAAGAAATGACAATTTCAGAAATCAATCCAGCAGGAAAAAAGGTGTAGAAGGAACAGAAAGATAGAAAATTTACCAAACACTTCTATGACCCTGAGCTCCCATGTGATGACTTCTCCATCGCATGTTGACGAACGGCCCGAGCCCACTGATCTAGCCATACAGGAATCATACGTGCATCCTGCCCCGATTGCAGTCCAAGGATTGGAGTGGAATATAGCGGGGGCAGCCAAGGCTTGCCCGTGCAAAAAAGTTGGGTGGTGATGATGATACAAAAGTTGACCTGCAGACCAGATCTGGATTCATCCAAAAGGCGACAGGATTTTTTTTTTTTTTTTTTTTTTTTTTTTTTTTTTTTTTTTTTTTTTTTTTTTTTTTTTTTTTTTTTTTTTTTTTTTTTTTTTTTTTTTTTTTTTTTTTTTTTTTTTTTTTTTTTTTTTTTTTTTTTTTTTTTTTTTTTTTTTTTTTTTTTTTTTTTTTTTTTTTTTTTTTTTTTTTTTTTTTTTTTTTTTTTTTTTTTTTTTTTTTTTTTTTTTTTTTTTTTTTTTTTTTTTTTTTTTTTTTTTTTTTTTTTTTTTTTTTTTTTTTTTTTTTTTTTTTTTTTTTTTTTTTTTTTTTTTTTTTTTTTTTTTTTTTTTTTTTTTTTTTTTTTTTTTTTTTTTTTTTTTTTTTTTTTTTTTTTTTTTTTTTTTTTTTTTTTTTTTTTTTTTCCCCAATCGATATCGGATTAAGTCCAAAAACCTTGGGAACACATAAAATGGTGGGAGGAGTCATTTGGTGGTGTGAGTAAATCCAATCAAAAACCACACTCCACACTACACAATACCAACCACTCCAATTCGGGATAGTCGATCAAATTGAGTCCAAAACTTGGGGAACAACATAAGTGGGAGGAGTCATTTTGGTGGGTTTTGAGTGAAATCCAATGGCTAAAACTATGCAATACACCAACCTCTCCATTTCAGAACGAACTTCCTACGAACCTGAATAGTCCGATTTCATGGACCAATCGATATCGGATTGAGTCCAAAACTTGGGGAACAACATAATATGGTGGGAGGAGTCAGTTTGGTTGGTTTGGAGTGAAATCCAATGGCTAAAACTATGCAATACACCAACCACTCCATTTCAGAACGAACTTCCTACGAACCTGAATAGTCCGATTTCATGGACCAATCGATATCGGATTGAGTCCAAAACTTGGGGAACAACATAATATGGTGGGAGGAGTCATTTGGTTGGTTTGGAGTGAAATCCAATGGCTAAAACTATGCAATACACCAACCACTCCATTTCAGAACGAACTTCCTACGAACCTGAATAGTCCGATTTCATGGACCAATCGATATCGGATTGAGTCCAAAACTTGGGGAACAACATAATATGGTGGGAGGAGTCATTTGGTTGGTTTGGAGTGAAATCCAATGGCTAAAACTATGCAATACACCAACCACTCCATTTCAGAACGAACTTGCTACGAACCTGAATAGTCCGATTTCATGGACCAATCGATATCGGATTGAGTCCAAAACTTGGGGAACAACATAATATGGTGGGAGGAGTCATTTGGTTGGTTTGGAGTGAAATCCAATGGCTAAAACTATGCAATACACCAACCACTCCATTTCAGAACGAACTCGTACGAACCTGAATAGTCGATTCATGGACCAATCGATATCGGATTGAGTCCAAAACTTGGGGAACAACATAATATGGTGGGAGGAGTCATTTGGTTGGGTTTGAGTGAAATCCAATGGCTAAAACTATGCAATACACCAACCACTCCATTTCAGAACGAACTTCATACGAACCTGAATAGTCCGATTTCATGGACCAATCGATATCGGATTGAGTCCAAAACTTGGGGAACAACATAATATGGTGGGAGGAGTCATTTGGTTGGTTTTGAGTGAAATCCAATGGCTAAAACTATGCAATACACCAACACTCCATTTCAGAACGAACTTCCTACGAACCTGAATAGTCCGATTTCATGGACCAATCGATATCGGATTGAGTCCAAAACTTGGGGAACAACATAATATGGTGGGAGGAGTCATTTGGTTGGTTTGAGTGAAATCCAATGGCTAAAACTATGCAATACACCAACCACTCCATTTCAGAACGAACTTCTACGAACCTGAATAGTCCGATTTCTGGACCAATCGATATCGGATTGAGTCCAAAACTTGGGGAACATCAATATGGTGGGAGGAGTCATTTGGTTGGTTTTGAGTGAAATCCAATGGCTAAAACTATGCAATACCAAAACCACTCCATTTCAGAACGAACTTGCTACGAACCTGAATAGTCCGATTTCATGGACCAATCGATATCGGATTGAGTCCAAAACTTGGGGAAAACATATTTGGTGGGAGGAGTCATTTGGTTGGTTTTGAGTGAAATCCAAATAAAACTATGCAATACACCAACACTCCATTTCAGAACGAACTTCTACGAACCTGAATAGTCCGATTTATGGACCAATCGATATCGGATTGAGTCCAAAACTTGGGAACAACATATATGGTGGGAGGAGTCATTTGGTTGGTTTTGAGTGAAATCCAATGGCTAAAACTATGCAATACACCAACACTCCATTTCAGAACGAACTTCCTACGAACCTGAATAGTCCGATTTCATGGACCAATCGATATCGGATTGAGTCCAAAACTTGGGGAACAACATAATATGGTGGGAGGAGTCATTTGGTTGGTTTGAGTGAAATCCACTGGCTAAAACTATGCAATACACCAACCACTCCATTTCAGAACGAACTTCCTACGAACCTGAATAGTCCGATTTCATGGACCAATCGATATCGGATTGAGTCCAAAACTTGGGGAACAACATAATATGGTGGGAGGAGTCATTTGGTTGGTTTTGAGTGAAATCCAATGGCTAAAACTATGCAATACACCAACCACTCCATTTCAGAACGAACTTCCTACGAACCTGAATAGTCCGATTTCATGGACCAATCGATATCGGATTGAGTCCAAAACTTGGGGAACAACATAATGTGGTGGGAGGAGTCATTTGGTTGGTTTTGAGTGAAATCCAATGGCTAAAACTATGCAATACACCAACCACTCCATTTCAGAACGAACTTCCTACGAACCTGAATAGTCCAATTCATGGACCAATCGATATCGGATTGAGTCCAAAACTTGGGGAACATATAATATGGTGGGAGGAGTCATTTGGTTGGTTTGAGTGAAATCCAATCTGAAAAACTATGCAATACACCAACCACTCCATTTCAGAACGAACTTCGTACGAACCTGAATAGTCCGATTTCATGGGACCCAATCGATATCGGATTGAGTCCAAAACTTGGGGAACAACATAATATGGTGGGAGGAGTCATTTGGTTGGTTTTGAGTGAAATCCAATGGATAAAACTATGCAATACACCAACCACTCCATTTCAGAACGAACTTCCTACGAACCTGAATAGTCCAATTTCATGGACCAATCGATATCGGATTGAGTCCAAAACTTGGGGAACAATCATAATATGGTGGGAGGAGTCATTTGGTTGGTTTGAGTGAAATCCAATGGATAAAACTATGCAATACACCAACCACTCCATTTCAGAACGAAACTTCGTACGAACCTGAATTGTCCCAATTTCATGGACCAATCGATATCGGATTGAGTCCAAAACTTGGGGAACATCATAATAGGTGGGAGGAGTCATTGGGTTGGTTTTGAGTGAAATCCAATGGCTATAAAACTATGCAATACACCAACAACTCCATTTCAGACGAACTTCTACGAACCTGAATAGTCCGATTTCGTGGACCAATCGATATCGGATTGAGTCCAAAACTTGGGGAACAACATAATATGGTGGGAGGAGTCATTTGGTTGGTTTTGAGTGAAATCCAATGGCTAAAACTATGCAATACACCAACCACTCCATTTCAGAACGAACTTCCTACGAACCTGAATAGTCCGATTTCATGGACCAATCGATATCGGATTGAGTCCAAAACTTGGGGAACAACATAATATGGTGGGAGGAGTCATTTGGTTGGTTTGAGTGAAATCCAATGGCTAAAACTATGCAATATACCAACCACTCCATTTCAGAACGAAACTTCTACGAACCTGAATAGTCCGATTTCATGGGACCAATCGATATCGGATTGAGTCCAAAACTTGGGGAACATATAATATGGTGGGAGGAGTCATTTGGTTGGTTTTGAGTGAAATCCAAGGGCTAAAACTATGCAATACACCAACCACTCCATTTCAGAACGAACTTCCTACGAACCTGAATAGTCCGATTTCATGGACCAATCGATATCGGATTGAGTCCAAAACTTGGGGAACAACATAATATGGTGGGAGGAGTCTTTTGGTTGGTTTGAGTGAAATCCAATGGCTAAAACTATGCAATACACCAACCACTCCATTTCAGAACGAACTTCCTACGAACCTGAATAGTCCGATTTCATGGACCAATCGATATCGGATTGAGTCCAAAACTTGGGGAACAACATAATATGGTGGGAGGAGTCATTTGGTTGGTTTTGAGTGAAATCCAATGGCTCTAAAACTATGCAATACACCAACCACTCCATTTCAGAACGAAACTTCTACGAACCTGAATAGTCCGATTTCATGGGGACCAATCGATATCGGATTGAGTCCAAAACTTGGGGAACATCACAATATGGTGGGAGGAGTCATTTGGGGGTTTGAGTGAAATCCAATAGCTAAAACTATGCAATACACCAACCACTCCATTTCAGAACGAACTTCGTACGAACTATGCAAATCTGTGGAACATGTAATATATGGTGGGAGGAGTCATTTGGTTGGTTTTGAGTGAAATCCAATGCTCAAAAAATATGCAATACACCAACACTCCATTTCAGAACGAACTTCGTACGAACCTGAATTGTCTGATTTCAAGGACCAATCGATATCGGATTGAGTCCAAAACTTGGGGAACAACATAATATGGTGGGAGGAGTCATTTGGTGGGTTTTGAGTGAAATCCAATGGCTAAAACTATGCAATACACCAACCACTCCATTTCAGAACGAACTTCGTACGAACCTGAATAGTTCGATTTCAAGGACCAATCGATATCGGATTGAGTCCAAAACTTGGGGAACAACATAATATGGTGGGAGGAGTCATTTGGTGTGTTTTGAGTGAAATACATCTCTAAAACTATGCATACACAACCACCACTGCATTTCAAAACGAACGTCGTACGACCTATGATGATAATCATATATTTATACATGTATACCCATACTTTTCTAGTCTTTTGTGTGATGTTTTTGAGTTTAAACATGGTGCGGTTTACCCTATTGTTATTAGTATGCCTTTGGAATATCTGACAGCCTCTTTTACCCCATAAAAACTTGCCTTTTAGCCACTTTCACAGACCCTATTTATTTTGGACGAATTTCACAACCCTAGACATCCTTCTTTTTGTTATTCTCCCCTTTCACACACACTTAAACCCTAGCCGCCCATATATTTCCACCATCAAGACTCATCGCAGGAGGCTGTTCTTGGAGAAGTTCAACATCAGAATTGGTTCAAGGGTTTCCTCTCATGAATTTATTTTCACTCATGTTGTTTATTTTCGTTTTAATCTTTGTGAACATGATGTGTAACTAAATTCATAGCTAGGGATTTCGATGTAGCCTTGCAACATTGATCCATGTTTCTAAGTTAAAGTATTCAGTTCATCAATCTGTTTCTTGTTTCATTCACTGAATCTATTGTTAAATTTGTTTGTCAATTTTAATGTTTGATCACCATTAGGGTTGCCTACAGATTATCTAGTCAAGGTTATTGTAAACATCATGCTTAATCTTGGTAGACATGTGAATGAATGAAGAGAATGCTATGCAAACATCCTGCCATGTGTTTTCTTCGGTTCTTTAACGTTTTCTTGCATGGTAATGACTCTTAACTTGGAACCAAAGTTGAACATCCCAATTAGGTTGCATATTAGGAGAATTTGATCAAAACCACACATCATATGGCTGATCATATATATGTAAAACGAACTCTGGAAACAGGTTGGTAGTTGAATACGGTTTAATTTTATAAACATGGAATTGGTTTTGCAATGGTGAATTCGAAATCCCTGGTCTCATCCCTATTCTTCTTACATCAATATCTCATTCGCTGCTACATTCGTCTTGCATTTTAAGTTATCTTTCATTTACAACACAAACTACTCTCAATTTGTCACTTTCACTTTTAGTTAGGGTTCTTTCAAAACTAGTAATTTATAGAGGTCCAATCGGTCCCTGTGGTTCGACACCCTTACTTGTACCATTATACTAACCATATATTGGCACTTGGAAGGAACACAACAAAATTTTGGCGCCGTTGCCGGGGACTGATTTCAGTCCTCTGTGATTGCTTGTTCTCAAACCCTAATTTCGTTTTATTTTTGTTTTTCAGGTAGTATATGTCAGATACACTTGCTGAAATAGGCCAAAGACTTGAACGGTTAAAGAGCAACACTTTTGAGAATTCTGTATCAACTAGTGCCCAGACTAGACGTATAGAAGAGGACAATAGTTCTTCTAGCCCAACGAGTGTAGATTCTTTCGATAACTCTAACTCTGACGGAGAAGAAGAGATGGCTGGCAATAACGATGACAACCGAGCTTTGGAAGATTATGCTCAACCGGTTATACCAAATTCACCTTCGTGCATCTTGCTGCCTACTGAAGCTAGAAATTATGAACTCAAATCTTCTCATTTTCACATGCTTCCTTCTTTTTATGGTTTACCTAACGAAGATCCATTATCCCATATTAAGGAATTCTACAATGTTGTGAGTGGTTTACCTTTGCAGGGAGTGAGTGAAGCAAATCTGAGGATGAGGGTTTTTCCTTATACATTGAAAGATAGAGCAAAGAATTGGCTAATGACTTTAGCACCTGGTTCGCTCACCACTTGGGATGCCGTAGCTAAGAAGTTTCTGGAGAAGTTTTTCTCAACTCAAAAGACAGCTACGTTGAGAGGGCAAATCTTTAACTTTAAACAAGATGATGGAGAACCTTTCAATGAATGTTGGGAGCGTTTCAAAGGCCTGTTGCTGCAATGTCCACATCATGGGTTACCTCTTTACTTACAAATGCAAATTTTTTATGATGGACTAACCCAAACATGTCAATCAACTGTGGATAATGCAGCAGGTGGAGCTTTGAAGAAGAAGAATGCGCAAGAGTCATATAACATTTATGAGATGTTGGGATCTAATGCTCAACACAAAGATACAAGAGGTAAACGAGTTGGAATGTATGAAATGAGTTCTAATAATGATCTTGCTTTGCAGGTGGCTAGTTTGGAAAAGAAGCTCGATTCTGTGCTCAATATGGCGCCTAAGATAGCTGAGGTGTGTGCCATTTGCAACATACCAGGTCATCCTACTTATCAATGCTCAGCTAGTGAGGCTTATCCCGAATTCGTTCAAGAGCAAGTGAATCTCATGAATTCTTACAATCAGAGGCCGAGGAATGACCCATTCTCTAATACATATAACCCTGGTTGGAGAGATCATCCCAATCTCTCATGGAAGAATAACAATCAATTTCAAAATTTCCAACCAAAGCCTGCCACTACGCTTGAAGATACTGTCAAAATGCTAGCTCAGAACACCGTTCAATTCCAGCAAACTACCAATAGTACTCTCCAACAACATTCAGCTGCTCTAACCAAAATGGAGACACAATTAGGTCAGATTGCTGATGCTTTGAGTCAAAGAGAACCCGGGAAATTTCCAAGCCAACCGGTGATACTTCAAAGGAACCAAGAGCAGGCCAAAGCGGTCATAACACTTAGAAGTGGTAAGGTTATTGATAATAGAGTTGGCAATGAAGTTACTAATGAATCTGATCATGTGAATGCAGGCCCCACTCAAGAAGAGCATGAGAAACCGAATGAAGATCCAAGCAATGCCACTTCTTCGTATGAAGCTCCAAATTTTCACAAGGCTGAAAAACCTTACACTCCTCCAATCCCATTTCCTGGAAGACTTGCCAAAAGCAAGCAGGAGAAGTCATTTAAAGAAATTTTTGATATTTTAAGTAAAGTGAATGTTAATTTACCTTTGCTTGATGTCATTAGGAATATGCCAGCATATGGGAAATTTTTCAAGGAGCTAAACACTTATAAGAGGAAGTATGGACCTAATGAAAAGGTGATGGTGTCTGAAAATGTGAGTGCTGTGCTTCAAAGAAAGCTCCCACCAAAACTCAAGGATCCGGGCAGTTTTTCTATCAATATCACCATTGGAGACACGCTAGTTGAAAAGGCTATGCTTGACTTGGGGGCGAGCATCAATTTAATGCCCTATTCAGTGTACCTTCAATTAGGTTTGGGGGGGTTTGAAGGCAACAACTATTTCATTGCAACTTGCCGATCGATCAGTGAAATATCCAAGAGGTATAGTGGAAGATATCTTAGTTCAAGTTGACAAACTAATTTTGCCTGCTGATTTTGTAGTGTTGGACATGGAAGAGGCTCCTATACATGATCGTGAGTTACCTATTTTGCTTGGGAGACCCTTTATGGCCACGGCAAAGACTATCATAGATGTGCAAAATGGTCTCCTCACCATGACTGTGCTAGGAGAAACTGTACAATTCAAAGTGTTTGAATCTCTTTCTCACCCTTCTAGTTCACTTGATTGTTGTTCGATTGATGTGCTTGATTCACTTGTTTTCTCTAAGTTTTTGCTGGCACAATCCAATGATCCATTACAATATGTTTTGAGTCAATCTCAAGATGAATTTGATGAAGAAGTGCTCATGGAGATGGTGGCAGCCTTGGAAGCATTAAAACCATATCCCTCCACTTTTTCACCTCTTATAGAGCCATTAGGACCATCTGCCACACATCTGACCCCTTCTGTTGTTAAACCTCCAAAACTTGAGCTTAAACCACTTCCATCACATCTAAAATATGCTTACCTAGCTGAGTTTGAAACTCTCCCAGTTATCATAGCATCTGACCTCACCCCTTTGGAAGAAGAGAAGCTAATTAGGGTGCTAAAAGAGTTCAAATCAGCCATTGGTTGGTCTATTGCAGATATCAAGGGAATAAGCCCTACCATGTGCATGCATCGTATTTTATTGGAGGAGGGAGCGAAACCAACTCGTGAACCACAAAGAAGGCTCAATCCACACATGAAGGAAGTAGTGAGAGCTGAAGTGTTGAAGTTGCTAGATGTGGGTATCATATACCCGATTTCAGATAGCAAATGGGTCAGCGCTGTTCACGTAGTGCCTAAGAGGATTGGAATCACAGTGGTAAAAAATGAGCATAAAGTGCTTGTTCAAATGAGACCTGCAGCTAGTTGGCGTGTTTGCACCGATTACAGGAAGTTGAATTCGTACACTAGAAAAGATTATTTTCCTATGCCTTTTATTGATCAAATGCTTGAGCGATTAGCTGGTCACTCATATTATTGTTTTCTTGATGGATATTCAGGTTATAATCAAATTGCGATTGCTCCAGAAGATCAAGAGAAGACTACATTCACCTGTCCTTTTGGCACTTTTGCATATAGGAGGATGCCGTTTGGCCTTTGCAATGCCCCAGCAACATTCCAACGATGTATGCTGGCAATCTTTTCAGATATGATTGAGAGATTTATTGAGGTATTCATGGACGATTTTTCAGTTTTTGGTTCTTCTTTTGATACTTGTCTTAACCATCTCTCTCTAGTGCTTCAAAGATGTCAGGAAACAAATTTGATTCTCAATTGGGAAAAGTGTCAATTTATGGTGAAACAAGGTGTTGTGTTGGGGCATGTAATATCCAGCAAGGGTATTGAAGTTGACAAAGCAAAAATTGACATCATCTCAAATATGGCAGCCCCTACTTCAGTGAAGGGAGTGAGAAGCTTTCTAGGACATGCTGGTTTTTATCGTCGTTTCATTAAGGATTTTTCCAAGATCACTCATCCATTGTGCAATCTTTTGGCCAAAGATGTTGTATTTCACTTTGATAAAGATTGTATGAATGCATTTAATACCTTGAAACGTGAACTAACCTCTGCTCCTATCATTATGGCCCCAGATTGGTCTTTGCCTTTTGAGCTAATGTGTGACGCCTCTGACTATGCTATTGGTGCTGTTTTAGGTCAAAGAGTAAATAAGCTGCCACACGTAATCTACTATGCAAGTCGGACATTAAACGATGCTCAACTCAATTACTCTACAACTGAGAAGGAGTTGCTTGCTGTTGTTTTCGCTTTAGAGAAATTTCGTTCATATCTTGTTGGCTCTAAAGTTATTGTTTACTCTGATCATGCAGCTCTTAGGTTTTTGTTGACCAAGAAAGATGCTAAACCACGTTTGATAAGATGGATACTCTTGTTACAAGAGTTTGACCTAGAAATTCGAGACAAGAAAGGGAGTGAAAATGTTGTTGCTGATCACTTGTCGCGCCTTGTTGATGAAAACCATGGAGATGGACAAATTTTGCCTCTCAACGAATCATTCCCGGATGAAAAACTCTTTGTCATCCAAGATAAAGAGCCATGGTATGCTGATTTTGTCAATTATCTTGCTTCTAGTGTAATTAGAGATGATTTGACTTTTCAGGAGAGAAAGAAGTTCTTTTCAATGGTGAAACACTACATGTGGGATGAGCCCTATTTGTTCAAGTATTGCCCTGACCAAATCATTCGAAGATGTGTTCCAGAGAGTGAGCAGCAAAGCATACTAACATTCAGTCATGCATTGGCATGCGGAGGTCATTTCAGTGCCAAAAAGACAGCTTTAAAGGTTTTACAATCTGGTTTCTTTTGGCCTACATTGTTTAAAGATGCTTTTGATTTTTGCTCTAAGTGTGATAGGTGTCAGAAAATGGGGAGCATCAGTCGCAGGAATGAAATGCCATTAAACAACATTTTAGTGGTAGAGCTGTTCGATGTATGGGGAATTGACTTCATGGGACCATTCCCATCTTCTTTTGGATACATATACATACTAGTGGCAGTAGATTATGTATCAAAATGGGTTGAGGCAACAGCTACAAGAACTAATGATCACAAAGTTGTTTTGAATTTTCTCAAAGATATGATTTTCACTAGGTTTGGAACTCCGAGAGCTATCATTAGCGATGGTGGCAGTCACTTCTGCAACAAACCTTTCGAGGCATTGATGAAGAAGTACAACATCACACATAAAGTGGCAACTCCATACCATCCTCAAACCTCTGGACAAGTGGAAATCAGCAATAGAGAAATAAAGAACATCTTGATGAAAACCGTCAGCCCTACAAGGAAGGATTGGTCACTAAGGTTGAATGATGCACTTTGGGCGTATCGCACAGCGTACAAGACCCCAATTGGAATGAGCCCTTATCGACTGGTGTTTGGAAAGGCATGTCATTTGCCAATGGAGCTTGAGCACCGTGCATATTGGGCCATAAAGAAGTTCAATTTTGATCTCAAAGAAGCTGGTACAGTGAGGAAGCTCCAACTCAATGAGTTGGAAGAGCTCAGAAATGAATCATATGAGAATGCAAGGATCTACAAAGAACGAACCAAGCTCTACCATGACAAAGCAATTCTTAGGAAGGAGTTTCAACCAGGTATGAAAGTACTTTTGTATGACTCACGTTTGCGACTTTTTCCAGGTAAATTGAAGTCTAGATGGGTTGGACCATTCAAAGTGCTTCAAGTATTTCCCCATGGAGCTATGGAGATAGAAAACATCAAGAATGGGACCCGTTTTAAGGTCAATGGACAGCGTTTGAAGCCTTATTTGGAGAATGTTTCACAGGAGCAGGTTTATGTAGTTATGGATTCTCTCGAGTTTATGACAACTTAGACACACTACCATGTCTTGCCTAGACATTAAATAAAGCGCTTGCTAGGAGGCAACCTAGCTGGGTTTGTGTTCTTTCCTTTTATTTGTGTTAGTTTTTAGTTTTTATTTTATTTCATTCCATGCACACTGCCAATTTGCATTGCATCCATTCCATTCATTTTTTTTTAAGCATCGAGGACAATGCTTAGTTTAGGTTTGGGGGTGTGGGATTTTCGTTTGTTTCTAGTTCTGGTTAAAGTTTGCTTTTGCTTACTAATGTGAATGTATATGAGGGCTATGGTTTACAATGAGGACTACTGTGTTGTCATGAAAAAGTTCGTATCATTATTATTATTTTTTTTTCAAAGCTGTTACTCTTGGAATCATGGTGGTTAAAGTATCATGCTCAAATTCTGGAAGAAGAATTGTGGAGACTACCCTAGAGAGTGATTTTGAGCCTATTTACTTCTTTGAGAGGGTTTAAAGTGTTTGTACTCCTATCTTTTTGCTTCAACTTCATTTCAAATGATCTCATTATTTTTGTTTGATTGAACGCTAAGAATTGTTCTCTTTCGCAGATACCATGTGTTTGGTAACACTCATGAATGAACTCATTGAGATGATGTTAGGCTATGCATGTCTTAACCACCAAAAGGCCTAATTTCTTACCTTATGTGTGTGCCATTACCCCCATTTTGAAGCCAATCATGTTTAGCCATTTTCTTTTCTCACATTTTTTTCCCCCATATCCTTTTATCTCAATATGAGATATTTAGCCCATTACAGCTATACCCTATAGTTTGGGGAATACCAAAGTGATGAAGACAAAGATAATTCGAGCTCTACATAAAGAAAGTGGTGTGTACCGAGGTATGTGTGCTGGAATTGTAGAAAAAAGAAAGAAAAAAGAAACAAAGTTTTAGAAAAGAAAAGAAAAAAAATCAAAGAGGATGTAATTTCTAAATCCTTCCATTATCGCACGAATCCTGGATGCCACGAACAAACAACAAAGATCAATTCAAGAGGAGAGCTTGCTGCTTTCACAAGGAAGACACTTTGGTATGTCCCAAGCTTTAGTATTTCCTATCCTTTCTTTCATAGCCCCTGACCTAAGCCTTAACATTACAAACCTTGTGAAAGACCTAGCTGATCTTTGAGGATGTATTCATGAGTGATGCTAAGTATGTGTGCTATCCATATTCTTAGTGTTTGATTCCCTTCATGAGATCTGTCCAGAAATTGTGCTTTTATTTCATATTTCATATGTGAGGATTTTGATTTCCTTTTACATAACTTCACTCACATATGTTTGAGGAGAGACCGTGCCTTAGGATCTGAGTGAAAATTTGAGTGATATCTGTGAGGACTAGAGTTGAGGCGATTTCTATCTTTGGCATTTGAGTATGGTATCTTTGAAGTCATGGGACATGGAGTAATTATTTTTTACACTTTATGATATGATTCTTTCAAGTGGCAGACTAGTGGTTTGAATGTATGACTAAGCTTTCATTGGTTCTTATTAGTTTGCTATAAGTATGCTTTAACCAATTTGCTTGCAAGTATGCAGATGTTTGTGGGTGTCATCACTGTAAACCCTCAGGAGACACAACTCCTCCTACTAGGGACACCTAGGGGTTTAAAGGCTTGTTGCACATGCTCAGTGCAATCGTTTAGCCAGCGAAAGTGGTCTAGTTAGATTTTAGTGTCTTGTGTGTTTTCAGTTTCAGTTTTGCTCGAGGACTAGCAAAAATCAGGTTTGGGGGTATTTGATAACTCATATATTTATACATTTATACCATCCATTTCTAGTCTATTTGTGATGTTTTTGAGTTAAACATGTTGCGTTTTACCCTATTTTGTGTTAGTATGCAGTTGCACCTACTTTAGGATCAAGTTGAAGGCAAAAGAAATCAAAACATGTCATTTTTGGAGCTGGCCATTATCCAAACGTGGAAACATATTTTGTGACCTGTTTTGAAGTCCAAATAAAGATCCAAAGTGAACCTGGCTTGTTTAAAGACTAAGAGCGGAATGGGAAAGTAATGGGGATTTCTAGCCTGATTTGGAGGTGCCAAATAAGGCAAAAACGTGCAAAATAAAGGCTGATTTATTAGGATCTCTTTGGAATATCTGACAGCCTCTTTTACCCCATAAAAACTTGCCTTTTAGCCACTTTCACAGACCCTATTTATTTTGGACGAATTTCACAACCCTAGACATCCTTCTTTTTGTTATTCTCCCCTTTCACACACACTTAAACCCTAGCCGCCCATATATTTCCACCATCAAGACTCATCGCAGGAGGCTGTTCTTGGAGAAGTTCAACATCAGAATTGGTTCAAGGGTTTCCTCTCATGAATTTATTTTCACTCATGTTGTTTATTTCGTTTTAATCTTTGTGAACATGATGTGTAACTAAATTCATAGCTAGGGATTTCGATGTAGCCTTGCAACATTGATCCATGTTTCTAAGTTAAAGTATTCAGTTCATCAATCTGTTTCTTGTTTCATTCACTGAATCTATTGTTAAATTTGTTTGTCAATTTTAATGTTTGATCACCATTAGGGTTGCCTACAGATTATCTGGTCAAGGTTATTGTAAACATCATGCTTAATCTTGGTAGACATGTGAATGAATGAAGAGAATGCTATGCAAACATCCTGCCATGTGTTTTCTTCGGTTCTTTAACGTTTTCTTGCATGATAATGACTCTTAACTTGGAACCAAAGTTGAACATCCCAATTAGGTTTCATATTAGGAGAATTTGATCAAAACCACACATCATATGGCTGATCATATATATGTAAAACGAACTCTGGAAACAGGTTGGTAGTTGAATACGGTTTAATTTTATAAACATGGAATTGGTTTTGCAATGGTGAATTCGAAATCCCTGGTCTCATCCCTATTCTTCTTACATCAATATCTCATTTGCTGCTACATTCGTCTTGCATTTTAAGTTATCTTTCATTTACAACACAAACTACTCTCAATTTGTCACTTTCACTTTTAGTTAGGGTTCTTTCAAAACTAGTAATTTATAGAGGTCCAATCGGTCCCTGTGGTTCGACACCCTTACTTGTACCATTATACTAACCATATTGGCACTTGGAAGGAAACAACACTTGAATTGTCCGATTTCATGGGCAATCGATATCGGATTGAGTCCAAAACTTGGGGAACATCATAATATGGTGGGAGGAGTCTTTGGTGGTTTTGAGTGAAATCCAATGGCTAAAACTATGCAATACACCAACCACTCCATTTCAGAACGAATTTCCTACGAACCTGAATTGTCCAATTTCATGGACCAATCGATATCGGATTGAGTCCAAAACTTGGGGAACATCATAATATGGTGGGAGGAGTCATTTGGTGGGTTTTGAGTGAAATCCAATGGATAAAACTATGCAATACACCAACCACTCCATTTCAGAACGAACTTCTTACGAACCTGAATTGTCCAATTTCGTGGACCAATCGATATCGGATTGAGTCCAAAACTTGGGGAACATCATAATATGGGGGAGGAGTCATTTGGTGGTTTTGAGTGAAATCCAATGGATAAAACTATGCAATACACCAACCACTCCATTTCAGAACGAACTTCGTACGAACCTGAATCGTTCGATTTCATGGACCAATCGATATCGGATTGAGTCCAAAACTTGGGGAACATCATAATGTTGTGGGAGGAGTCATTTGGTGGGTTTTGAGTGAAATCCATTGGATAAAACTATGCAATACACCAACCACTCCATTTCAGAACGAACTTCGTACGAACCTGAATTGTCCAATTCATAGACTGGTTTCACACAAAAGGAAGGAGAAGCTTTCATGAATGTTGGGAGAGGTACAAGGAGATGATAAGTTCTTGCCCACACCACAACATAGAGATTTGGATGCAAATGCACTCTTTTTATGAAGGTTTGATTGATTCCGAAAGGATGATGATACATGCAACAAGTGGAGAAGGACTGATGAACAAAACAGCAGATGAGGCTTTTACTCTCTTTGAATATTTGAGTGCTAACTCTCAACAATGGAGCCACAATAACGGAAGAGGATCTCCTATGAAAGCTGTGGTCTATGAGGTAAGTACTAATAATGAGATTGCTGCAAAACTTGATGTTATGTGTTCTTTGCTTCAACAGGCAGTGACTAGCCCTCTAGGAAACAAGGTGGAAGTTCAAGCAAGGAATTCCCCTCAAGCACGTGCTAGAACAAGTAAATTCCCTTCAAGCAAGGAATCCTAATAATGATCCGTACTCAAACACGTACAATCCGGGGTGGAGAAATCATCCTAATTTCAAGTGGAGAAATAACTCAAATGTGCAACAATCTGAAGGACCTCCCCCAAGATTTCAAATACAACAAAGGCAATTCCAGCAAGCTCCCCAACGAGTGCAAGAGCAAAGGGGTGACCAAATAGGAGAATTGCAAGACATGTTCAAGAATTTCATGGGGCAACAGATGCAAACCAATCAGAATCTTCAAAATCCAGTGAACAAGCTAGAAGTGCAAGTTGGGCAGATTGCATCCTTCTTGAGCAATAGAGCATCCGAAACATTTCCAAGCCAAACGGAGGTGAATCCAAGGCATCAAGAGCATGCTAAAGCAGTACACATCTTGAGAAGTGGTAAACAAGTTGATAATAAGGTTGGAGATGCCAATGAAGAGCAAGAAGATGGAGAAAACGTGGAGATCATTCAACCACCACATGGGCAGCCCACAGGTTCCACCAAATAGCCCCTCAATGCTCCTGGAAAGAGCACAGGCCCTAAGGTATCATCTAATGCTAACCAAGTTCCAATTTCAACTAATGCTTATAGGCCTATTGCACCCTTTCCCAGTAGGTTATCAAAGTCAAAGAAAGAAGGCTTGGATGAGATAATGGAAACATTCAAGAAGGTGCTGTTGGTCCGTCGCAAATCTCGCGGCCTGGTGCTCCAGGCCGAGGGGATGTGCGTCAACAAGTGACGTCCTCCTTTTGGATGCGGTACGGTTGTGCGTGGGCGTGCCAGCACGGTCTACCGTGCGTCGAGGTGATGATGAGGTTCGGGTACAAGATGGTTTAAATGTTGCGCCTGTTTTGCGTTCGACTCCTAATCAAATGATTGTGACTGAGTGAGGAACGAATCTCAGCCGTCAGGTTCACGGCCTGAGCTACAAGGCCGTTTAGTGGTGGTGTTGGTGGTGGGTTTTTAGGTAGTGCTCCGGCGCGTTGCTTAGAGAGCGACAGTTGTATGATATATGGGGTGAGTGAGGCGATAACAGAGGTGGTGCTCCGACGCCTTGAAAATCAAGGGTCGTATGATATATTGATGAATGGATTTTCCTTACAGTCTACCACTACTCCTAAGAAAGCAAATAAAGGTATTGAAAGTGCATTACAGAAAATATAAGTTGCTCCGTGGGAGGCTTTTGGTTTGGTGTTTGAACATTTTGAATGTAGTCCTGAGCTTAGTATTTATAGGAGTCCTGGAAGGACATTCGAGGCTGACAAGACCTGCGTGGTGGAGCCTAGCCGGGCAAGTGGATAGTCAAATCGGCATTTGGGATCGTGCAACATGGTGGTCTGGGGTTGAGAAGCATGGTGGTGTGACCCCCATAAATCTCGGCAAATCTCGGCCACCGCCCTGATCGTGGGTTCTGCCCCCTTGGCCGTGGGAATGCATTTAATGCCCTGGACTGGCAGTTCAAATCTGACCTCAAGTCGCAAGATTACTTGTGAGAATGTCTGCGCCTAACCACCCTGATTTCCATCACCAAATCCTGACTTCAGTCACTTCCCTTGTGCATTAAATGCTTCTTGCACCCAGTGGTTTTGCTGCGGTGGTCAGAGGCACTACTTCATTAAATGGGGCGTGGGATCCTGAGGCCACGTGACCATTTGACCATAGTATCTTCGGTCGTGTCTTTCATGGACCTCGGCCTCGGCCCATAATGCCGTGGTTGTGAGGCCGAGAAGATCCTGCCTTCGTATTTTCTTCTGCTTTCGAAAAGGCTAAATGTCTGACGAAACGTGGCCGTTTCAGTCCATGAATAGGTGCCACGGCCGAGAAGAGGTCCTTCTGACGACCGTGATTTATTTAGGCACAAACATTGCCCCCACATCCCTGGATTCTTCGGTCGCGGCTTGGGCAGAGGCCGAATGGATTCCAAGGGATGGACTCTCTGCCTTCCCCCTGAAGTGATCGATAGTTGGCGTCTTAAATGCGAAGGTCAATCGACACATTAAATGCACAGGCACGTCCCTTAAGCCATCATTGCCTTGATTCGCTCGATCCGTCGCTTCGCCTCGTCAATTGAAACGACGGCCTCCGGGCTTCTGACACGTCATCGCGTATTCGAGTACACTGTCAGACCGTTATGCCTCTCGAGTACACTGTCAGATCGTGCCCTTTCGTTTCGAATTCGGGCGCCAGTATAAAACCCTAACCCTAAACCCTAAACCCTACGCTTTCAGAATTCCCAGACGCCCAGACTCTGCCAAAACTCTCTCAATCTCTCAACCCTCTCGAACTTCTTTTTTTTTTAGCACTCCACCTCTCTGTCCAGTTATCCTTTTGTTTGAGCGCTTGGCTTCCCAGTGTTCTTCGTGTTTATCATTCTTTCCTTGACTTTTCTTTATAACACCCGTTTTAATCCGTTTTAATGGCCTCAAGCACCTCTACATTTGTTGAAGCTCAGTCCCAAGTCTTCCAAACTGAGTTTGAAGACATTTGCCGAGAAATCCAGGGCTCGGTCTTACCCAACATCGTCACACCTTGGACTGACGACGACGGCACCGCCACCGACTCCTGCGTCCTTGGCCCCTCGTAGACGGCGGGATGCCAGAGAGGCTGGTGGCCCATTTGAAGAATAATCTGGTGGACCTCTTGGCCTTTGACGGGGGGGACTTCCAAGATTGGAATGTTGCCAGCCACAGCTCTAATGGCCAACCTCGACCCCGGACTGGGAAAATGGCTGCCAAGGATGGAGCACTTCTTCGGCCAGCAATGGAAGGATCAAGGCGTCTACCACTTGATCAAGCTATTCGATCGGCCACTCGTCATGGACCGGTCGCTCTTGGCCGCGGCCCTATGCTTCTGGTCGTCGGCCACAAATACCATGAACCTTCGGTTTGGCATGATGACGCCGACCGTTCTAGACATGGCCGCCCTATTCGGCCTCTCCCCCATTGGCGTGGAAGTAAATTCCGCTCTGGTGGCCCCTGAGGCTGAAGGGTGTTTCAAGGCCGCATGGCCTACGGTTGCCAAGCTTCCTGGAAGTAAGGCGAAGAACATGCTCAACTACTCCAGCTTCTACAGCAACTTCAGCGTGGAGGACAGCGCTGATGATGATTCCATCGCTCCCTTGGGCGAGGTTGAGCATGTCGCGTTCCTGCTGTACTCGCTATGCAAGTTCGTGTTTTGCACCCAGGCGAACAAAGTCACCCTGGAGTTCGCCCACCTGGCCGACTATCTCGCGCAGGGCGGAAGGCTGGTGCTCGGCCCATTCCTCCTCGGTCATATCTACCGCACACTTCACGATACTTCCAGTTCTGGCTGCAAGCTTACTTCCCAGAGTTGAGGGGAGCGGCCAATATTGCAAATACCGAGCCGTTGGCTAACGCATTCGCCCGGGCCCCTAGGAAGCATAAATTTTTCTATGGCTTGGTCGAGAGGACCGGGTCGCAGTTCCGGGTGTGCCTTGCTCGGCAGTACCCTTTGTTCCTGGCGCACGACCTCTCCGTGATTCCAGATGGTGAGACGGAGAACGATCTGAAGGAGATCTCGGGCTCCTTCCTGGTCGCGCGCGACCTTCACTGCGGCCTGTCCAAGGCTGGGGCCGAGGTTTATTTGCCGAACTTTATGGCGCGGCAATTTGGCTTGATCTGGACGGCACCTCTCGTCTTGGAGGGCCGACGTCGCCCAGCAGCATGGCGTGGCTGGCATTTCCTTCCAACTCCAAAAAAGGATGACCTTCCTTACTCTGACGCCTTGGTTGCGTCGTAATGCGTATGACGAGGATGGAAGAGTCTGGTACGAGGAGTTCGGCCAGATTCATTCGACCTGTTGAAGAGGCCGTGAGGGGGGCTCTGAAGAATGCAGATTGGGACCCCCTCATCCCCAAGGCTGGTAAGGGGAAGAAGGCCCCGGCCGTGAGTCCTCGACCGAGCAAGCCGGCAGCGGCCGTACCCAGGGTGGCAGCCCCCTCTTCGGTTAGAGCAGCGGTCGCGACCTCAACGACAGCCCCGACCCCCAGAGCGCCGACTGTAGCGGGGGCGCAAAAGGCTTCGGCGCACAGGGCCGTGCCATCCGCCCCGCCGGCTCCACCGATCGCTGCCGTTGGTATGCCCTCTTTCTTTTTCACCTTGCCGTTAGCTTCTCCGAGCCACCTTTTTCTTTGTTTACTTGCTTCTTACCTCTTTTACCTCTCCCTGTACACACAGCCCCGGGTCGCAAGAGGGATCTAGAGGCCTCAAGTACTGAGGCCGCAGCTGTTGAGGCCAAGCAGGCCGAAAGTGTTACTGTTGAGACGGCGGTGCTAGAGCGGCCGAGAAAAAGGGTCCTCCTTGTTCTTCTGGAGGCTGAGGACGAGGAAGAAGTCCCTTCGGTGATTGTGAGTAAAACCCCTCTCATGACCGTAAGTACTCCTCCTTGATTTCTTTTTACTCCTCTTTTCAGGCCATGGCCTCCCCCTCGTTTTCTTTTCTGATAATCTGGTCCTTTCCTCAGGGCGAGGCAGTGGCCAAGGAGTTGGCCGCCGCCGAGATAGCAGTTGAGGGGGCGGCCACTGCTGAGGTGGCGGAAAAGCCGGATGCCGAGGCAGCAGTTGCAGAGGCGCCAGCCACTCAGGAAGCCGCCGTGAACGTGCTAGACGACGAGGTCCTTACCGTGGACCCGGCGCAGGCCACCCTGGTGGAAGTCCCTTCGGCCACTTCTGCCGTGCCTACCTTGGCCGTTACCGCGTCCGTCAAGCCGTTGGTGTCCACTCCTCGTCACCCAAGCGGCATTGTGATCCGTTCGGTAAGTGCTTTGCTTTCACCATACTTCATTTCGTTTCTAGAATTGTGCTACATGTTTTTGACCAAATTTTTGCTTCCAGCCTCCCCGGTCGTTGCTGCCGCTACCCACGGTCGCTGTGAGCATGCCTCCGGCGCTGTGGTCCCAGGACTCGACGGTAGTGACTGAGCGTGCAGGGGTTGAGGCTACAGCCACTGATGCGCCGAGCCTACCGCCTGTCTCTTCGGCGGCCCTGACCGAGCTTGTGGTCGTAGATGTTCCTGGTGCTCCGTCGGCCGCTGAGGTGAGACTTTCACCTTTTTCTTCCTTATGCCCTAGCTGTTTGTTTCTCTCTTGTCTTAACTCTCCTTCTCATTTTCCGGATACCCCCTCCTTTGATGACCTCGAGGACTTATACGCCAGCTTGCACGAAGAAGGAGGCGGCTCGGCCCCGGCTCCTTTGGACGAGGATTCCAAGGCCATTGCTAAGAAGTTGAGAGAATTCCTTTTCTTTGGGGTGCACCGGATGACCTCGGCCGAGGCTTTCTTGGCGTTCAGGTTGTGTTTGGACACGGCCATGGCTATGGGTCTGCTGGACTTGGCTCAACTGGATGAGCTACAGGCATGTCTGGCCGAGGGTGAGGAGATGATCGGCCGATATGCTGAGGCCAACATGAGGATGACCGAGGGGTGCTCGCTCGAGCAAGAGCTGATGTGATAAAAGAGCAAGTCCAGCCTACCATGGCCAGCCTGAAGGAAAATGACCTCGTTGTCCAGAGAGAGAACGAGGAACTTGCGCAGGTTGAGGCTCAGATTGCCGAGCTCCAGGTCCGTCGGGCTCTCATCCTTCAACGCCGAGATCTTGCGGTCGCAGCTGGAGCTGAACTGAAGTCTTTGGCCAGCCATATTCTCAAAGCAGCGACTGAGAAAAAGAAGGCCCTGGCCGAGAGGAAGCTGATCCAGGCGAGGTGGCAGGCGGACATAGATGGTGGGGACATTGCCTGGAGAAGGATAACCTGCCTGATCTGGGGGATTTTCAGCGAGGGTGTTTAGGGGGGGGGTGGCTGTTTATGATTTGTGTAATGGTTAGGTATTTTCTTTTCCTACAGACTGTATATATATATTCTCGTTTCATCGGCCGTGACTGGCCGTTTTCTTCTTCTTCTTTGTAGAAACAATATTTCTAATCTAATTATAAGGCACAAGCCCTTTTTCTATGAATGAGTGTATGCTGTTTTCATTCTGGCGCACCGTTTGTTTAGTTTTCATGGCTACTTCCGCCTTTTTTTCTTTTTGACTTTTTTGTCGTAGGCCCTCGGTGCCATTTCTTTTTGAACTTGCGCCGACGTGTAAGCGTCAAGCCCTGGTCGCCCCATATTTTCTGAATCCTGGGGCACGGTCAGCCCGTAGTTCTTCGTTTTTCGCCCAAGCTGCTTGGAAACCCGAAGAGGCCGAACCCTTAGCCTCATCAGTTTATTAATGTCACGGCCGTGGGCAAAGACATGTGGATATGTGCCTATGGCCGAATCTTTTGACGCGCGACGTGCCCAAAACGCCTTGGGGAACAAGTCGCGCCAAGTCCTGGGCTCTCCGAGCTGGAAAGGCTCGATATAGCTTGGCGTCTTCGACCACCTCTGGGTTAAGCCATCCTCGGTCGTGCGCCGAATCTCTTTGGTCCGAGGGTCCTGAGGTGGTAACTCCAACCGGATTGAAAGTGGCCGCAGGACCTGCTGTACATTATTCTGTGGCTCAATCTGCTGGGTCATTTGAACAAGGGGTTCAGCCGTTGCGACCGAGCCGGGCGGCTTTAGGTAAGCGTCGTAGGTTTGGCCGGGATGCATATGTGTCGCTGTTGGAACGGCCGAACCGTACTGAGGGTGGGATCTTGATGGAAACAACGACGCTTGTGATGGTGAAACGGTCGGATCGCTCTGACCGTGTTGCTGTGACGAAGTAGCGGTCGAGTTGCTTGGGCCGGGATGGGTCTAGACGGCCACGATGTGGACTGGGCCGAGTTGTTGGACCCGGACTGTGCGGGGATGGTTTGCCCCAGTCACACGGCCAAAGCATGGAGTGGGCCGTACGTTGTCTCTGCCGGGTAGGTCGGCTGTGAATGCTGGCCGTAATTTGACGCTTGGGTGCAGCCAGAGACGCCGAGGCCGCTGCTCTCGCCGTAGGGCTCGAACCTCTCGCACTCTTGGCCACTCTGTCCGGCTCTGGGAGGCGTTGCGGACGATGTCACCGGCATCCTCTCCTGAAAAAGCGTCCGTAGCTCCGAGGAGAATCTGTCCATTGCGGCCATGAAGGATGTTTCGATCCTGTAGGCCTGCTTCGCTATCAGATCTTCGACGACGGCTTGCTCTCCCATGGACTCGGCCGTGCGATTCGCCGTTATAGGACTGTTGGTCGAGGTTCTGACCGCGTGTTCGGTCTCGGTGACAGTGATTGGTGAGGTGGAGTCAGGAGCCTCGGAAGTCATTTCGACTGTTTTGTTTTTGAGCTTTGCATGTGCCCTAGTTTCCACCATAAGTTTTTAACAAGTCCCACCGGGCGTGCCGAAAGTGTTGATCCGTCGCAAATCTAGCGGCCTGGTGCTCCGGTCCGAGGGGATGTGCGTCAACACGTGACGTCCTCCTTTTAGTGGTGGTGTTGGTGGTGGGTTTTTAGGCGGTGCTCCGGCGCATTGCTCAGAGAGCGACAGTCGTATGATATATGGGGTGAGTGAGGTGATAACAGAGGTGGTGCTCCGGCGCCTTGAAAATCAAGGGTCGTATGATATATTGATGAATGGATTTTCCTTACAGTCTACCACTACTCCTAAGAAATCAAATAAAGGTATTGAATGTGCATTACAGAAAATATAAGTTGCTCCGTGGGAGGCTTTTGTTTGGTGTTTGAACCGTTTGAATGTGGTCCTGAGCTTAGTATTTATAGGAGTCCTGGAAGGACATTCGAGGCTGACAAGACCTGCGTGGTGGAGCCTGGCCGGGCAAGTGGATAGTCAAATCGGCATTTGGGATCGTGCAGCATGGTGGTCTGGGGTTGAGAAGCATGGTGGTATGACCCCCATAAATCTCGGCAAATCTCGGCCACCGCCCTGATCGTGGGTTTTGCCTCCTTGGCCGTGGGAACGCATTTAATGCCCTGGACTGGCGGTTGAGATCTGACCTCAAGTCGCAAGATTGCTTGTGAGAATGTCTGCGCCTAACCACCCTAATTTCCATCACCAAATCCAGACTTCAGTCACTTCCCTTGTGCATTAAATGCTTCTTGCACCCAGTGGTTTTGATGCGGTGGTCAGAGGCACTACTTCATTAAATGGGGCATGGGACCCTGAGGCCACGTGACGATTTGACCATAGTATCTTCGGCCGTGTCTTTCATGGACCTCGGCCTCGGCCCATAATGTCGTGGTTGTGAGGCCGTTTCAGTCCATGAACAGGTGCCACGACCGAGAAGAGGCCCCTTCTGACAACCGTGATTTGTTTAGGCACAAACAGGTGCAAGTCAACATCTCATTACTCAATGTCATTGCTCATATTCCAAAGTATGCAAAAATTTTGAAGGATCTATGCACTAACAATAGGAGATTCAAAGAGCATGAACAAGTTGCGTTGAGTGAAGAGGTCAGTGCAATGTTACAAAGAAAGCTACCTCCAAAGCTAAAGGATCCAGGTTCGTTTTATATACCTTGCATAGTTGGTGATTTTAAGTTTCAAAAAGCTTTGCTTGATCTTGGTACTTCTATAAATCTTATGCCATATCATGTTTATGAGAAACTTAACCTTGGTGAGTTGCAAGCCACAACTGTGCGCATTCAATTGGCAGATAAAACTATTCGGTACCCCAAGGGCATTCTAGAAGACGTTTTGGTGAACGTAGAAGGTTTAATCTTGCCAGCCGATTTCTTAGTCTTGCAGATGGAAGAAGCACCAATTCCTGACAATGAATTGCCCCTTATCTTTGGCCGACCCTTCATGGCTACTGCTAAGACCAAGATTGATGTAGAGCAAGGCACTCTCACCATGACCGTTAATGGAGAAACTGTTTCCTTCAAAGTGTTTGATGCCCTGAAGCCAAATGTTGTACAAGATTGTTTTCAAATTGAAGTATTTGGTAATCCAAGAAAAGAGAGATTTGATGGCCTTCCATATTCAGTAGAATCATTCTTGCTGAAAAGAGGAGACAAGGAGTAGCAAGGGGCAGCCCACATGTTCAATGCTACAATTCCCACACACAAGAAGGGGCTGCCCAAATTTGGAGATGTGAATATTCCAATCATTCCTACAATTCATTGTGATTCTATTCATAAACAGAAAAAGGAAAAGAAAAGCAGCAAGGAAGCAATGGAAAAGGAAAACAAGCTTGGTGAACTCTCTTGCATTGCATGAGGTGTCGATTGAGGCCAAACCTCCCATTCACTATACAAAGTTTGGACGTCTAGCAGAAGACATGAAACTTAGCGCTTCTTGGGAGGCAAAGGCAACCCAAGGTGACGATGAGAAGATAGAACGTGTGAGGAAGCCTGCTTGCATCCTAATTGCTTCAAAGGAGAGTTTTTCTGAACTCTAACCTTTGCTTATGTCTTTCCCTTATCTTCTTTCCCTTTGCTTATGTCTTTCCCTTGCATCCTAATCCCTCTACATGTATTCATCTCTAGTCAACTCATTTGAGCCAACGTTAAGCCTTTCTTTGTGTAAACCATTCCTACCATAATGAATCTCTGTTTTCTTATTCTATGAGCAATTAAAGCTATCTGCAAAAAAAAGTTATAAAGAATGCAAGGTTTTTGGAGCAAAAGTGAATCATTAGTGCCATAACCCAAGTGTTGAAAAGAAATAAGTTTGGGGGTATTGGTAACTAATCAAAATAGGTAATGAAGTGTGACCAATGTAGTCATGGCCCTAGGGTGTTATAAAAGACAAGATCATGGTGATCTAGGGTAATGAGCCAAAAAATTAGGCCAAATAAACAAATATGAAGGTGCTGAAATTCTGTTGAAAATATGCTCATGTATGTGTTCCTTGATTGTTAAAAAGATCAGTAATCTCTAATGCTCTTACTTATGCTTTAGTTGTTCTCAAGATGTTGTTATATATCCATATCCCCTCTTTCATTCAACCACTACCCTAGGCCTCATTACGACCCTTGTAAAGTCCTTTTGATCCTTGGTATTATATGGTATTACTATGGAGAGCTGATTTGATAATGAGCTTATGGGGTTCGGAATTCGTGATTTTGTTCTAAGTGTGTGCGCATGTACTTATTTGAGTTGCAGGTGTTGTACGGATTCGGCATTCACACACTACACTTAAGGATGTCATTGTGAGCTTTGGTTACTCTTGAATCATGTGTGGAACTTAGATTGTGATTGTTGTTTCTTTGGAACCATATACTTCGGTGATTCTTTGAGGATATTGTTTGGAAGGCTTGCCGCTTATTTCCTGTTTTCTAAATGGTATTTTTACTTTGTTTTGCTCGAGGACTAGCAAAATCTAAGTTTGGAGGTATTTGATAAGTTCATACATTCACATGCCTTGTATGCTTTATTCTAAGTAGATACCATGCTTAGGTTGCATATTAGAGATCACGTGTTGTGTAGATACCATGCACAATTACATGCCTTAGGAGAATCATGCATCCTGCACCTAGATACCATAGGCTTGTATGCGATAATCTAATGTCGATGAAGCTTGAGTCAATTTCTACGCATTCATAACTTGGATAGGAAAACTAGTGGTGGATTCCAAGGCTCTAACACCTCTCAATTATTGTTTCACAATCTGTCCAGTGTTTACTTTCGAGCACTTTCATTCTTCTTTTCATTTCAACAACAAAACCCCCCATTTCGAGTGCGTGTGTGGTGCTAGGATTCTGTCCTAGACCTTGAGTACTTAGCAAGAGGAATTGTTGAATTCGACCTTGCCTTTAGCTAGTCAGTCAGTTTCTATGTTCTATGTTTTTCTAGCATTCTAAGTAATTTAACTTGGAACCAAGTTACCATTCTCCGTGGGATCGACCTCGTAATTACATAAGCTATACTATAAACGATTCGTGCACTTGCGAGAATTCAAGTTGCTGTTTTTAATAACTCATTTTAGTTGTTAAGAATTGGCTCAACATACAACAGCTAAAACAAAGCAACAAACCAACCACTCCATTTCTGAATGAACTTCGTATGAACATGAATTGTCTGATTTATTGGACCAATCGATATTGGACAGAGTCCAAAACATGGGGAACATCATAATGTTGTGTGAGGAGTCATTTGCTTAGTTTTGAGTGAAATCCAATTGCTAAAACTATTCAATACACCAACCACTCCATTTCAAAAGAATTTCACACGAACGTGAATTGTCCGATTTCATGGACCAATCGATATCGGATTGGGTCCAAAACTTGCGGAACATCATAATATGGTGGGAGGACTCATTTGGTGGGTTTCGAGAGAAATCCAATGCCTAAAACTATGCAATACACCAACCACTCCATTTCAGAACGAACTTCGTACAAACCTGAATTGTCCGATTTCATGGGCCAACCGATATTGGATTGAGTCCAAAACTTGGGGAACATCATAATTTCGTGGGAGGAGTCATTTGGTGGTTTTGAGTGAAATCCAATGCTAAAAACTATGCAATACACCAAACAAACCATTTCAGAACGAACTTCTACGAACCTTAATTGTCCGATTTCAAGGAACAATCGAATATCAGATTGAGTCCAAAACTTGGGGAATGTTATAATGTTCTGGGAGGAGTCATTTGGTGAGTTTCGAGTTAAATCCAATGATAAGTTCATAGTGTACGAATCTGAATTCTCCGATTTCATGAACCAATCGATGTCGGATTGAGTCCAAAACTTGGGGAACACCATAATATGGCTGGGAGGAGTCATTTGGTGGGTTTTGAGTGAAATCCAATCTCTAAAACTATGCAAAACACCATCCACTCCATTTCAGAACGAACTTCGTACGAACCTGAATTGTCTGATTACGTGGACCAATCGATGTCGTATTGAGTCCAAAACTAGGGGAATATCATAATATCGTAGGAGGAGTCATTTGGTGGGTTTTGTTTGAAATCCAATGGCTAAAACTATGCAACAAACCAACCACTCCATTTCAGAACAAACTTCGTACGAACCTGAATTGTCCAATTTCTTGAGCCAATCGATATCGGATTGAGTCCAAAACATGGGGAACATCATAATGTTGTGGGAGGAGTCATTTGGTGAGTTTTGAGTGAAATCCAATTGCTAAAACTATGCAATACACCAACCACTCCATTTCAAATAGAACTTCGCACAAACATGAATTGTCCGATTTCATGGACCAATCGATATCGGATTGAGTCCAAAACTTGCGGAACATCATAATATGGTGGGAGGACTCATTTGGTGGTTTTTGAGTGAAATCCAATGGCTAAAACTATGCAATACACCAACCACTCCATTTCAGAACGAACTTCGTACAAACCTGAATTGTCCAATTTCATGGGACCAATCGATATCGGATTGAGTCCAAAACTTGGGGAACATCATAATTTCGTGGGAGGAGTCATTTGGTGAGTTTTTGAGTGAAATCCAATGCTAAAACTATGCCATACACCAACCAAACCATTTCAGAACGAACTTTGTACGAACCTTAATTGTCCGATTTCAAGGAACAATGAATATCAGATTGAGTCCAAAACTTGGGGAATGTTATAATGTTGTGGGAGGAGTTATTTGGTGAGTTTCGAGTGAAATCCAATGATAAGTTCATAGTGTACGAATCTGAATTCTCCGATTTCATGGACCAATCGATGTCGTATTGAGTCCAAAACAAGGGGAACATCATAATATTGTAGGAGGACTCATTTGGTGGGTTTTGTTTGAAATCCAATCTCTAGAACTATGCAACAAACCAACCACTCCATTTCACAACGAACTTCGTACGAACTTGAATTGTCCGATTTCATGGGCCAATCAATATCGGATTGAGTCCAAAACATGGGGAACAACATAATGTTGTGGGAGGAGTCATTTGGTGGTTTTGAGTGAAATCCAACAGCTAAAACTATGCAATACACCAACCACTCCATTTCAGAACAAACTTCGTACGAACCTGAATTGAACTATTTCAGGACCCAATCGATATCGGATTGAGTCCAAAACTTGGGGAACAACATAATGTTGTTGGGAGGAGTCATTTGGTGGTTTTGAGTGAAATCCAATGGCAAAAACTATGCAATACACCAACCACTCCATTTTAGAACGAAACTTGTACGAACCTGAATAGTCCAATTTCATGGACCAATCGATATCGGATTGAGTCCAAAACTTGGGGAAAATCATAATATGGTGGGAGGAGTCATTTGGTTGGGTTTTGAGTGAAATCCAAGTCTAAAACTATGCAATACACCAACCACTCCATTTCAGAACGAACTTCGTACGAACCTGAATTTTCCGATTTCATGGACCAATCGAAATTTGGTTGAGTCCAAAACTTGGGGAACAACATAATATGGTGGGAGGAGTAATTTGGTGGGTTTTGAGTGAAATCCAATGGCTAAAACTATGCAATACACCAACCACTCCATTTCAGAACGAACTTCTACGAACCTGAATAGTCCGAATTCATGGACCAATCGATATCGGATTGAGTCCAAAACTTGGGGAACATCATAATATGGTGGGAGGAGTCATTTGGTGTGTTTTGAGTGAAATCCAATGGCAAAAACTATGCAATACACCAACCACTCCATTTCAGAACGAACTTCGCACGAACCTGAATAGTCCGATTTCATGGGACCAATCGATATCGGATTGAGTCCAAAACTTGGGGAACATCATAATGTGGTGGGAGGAGTCATTGGGTGGTTTTGAGTGAAATCCAATGGCTAAAACTATGCAATACACCAACCACTCCATTTCAGAACGAACTTCGTACGAACCTGAATTGTCCGATTTCTTGGACCAATCGATATCGGATTGAGTCCAAAACTTGGGGAACATATAATATGGTGGGAGGAGTCATTTGGTGTGTTTTGAGTGAAATCCCAATGGCTAAAACTATGCAATACACCAACCACTCCATTTCAGAACGAAACTTCGTACGAACCTGAATAGTCCGATTTCATGGACCAATCGAAATCGGATTGAGTCCAAAACTTGGGGAACAACATAATATGGTGGGAGGAGTCATTTGGTGGGT